GTGTGTTTTTAGGGGGGTGGGGGGTTCGAGGCTGGTTTTGTCCCTACCAGGGGAGTTTCTAGCTAATGAAAAGATTTGGGGCTAAGTCGAGTTTACCTGGGGCTTGATGGTTTTTTTTTTTTTTGCAAAGTAAGATTGGTATCGGAGCTAAAATACCTGGAGATAGGTTAAAAATACTCGAGGCTCGGCTTAAAATACTCAGGGTTAAACTTAAAATACTCAAGGCTATAGCCCCTATAGCCCCCAGTGATTGCACCCCCATGGTCCCTAATGCTGAAACCAATATAGAAACTATCCCTATGCTTGGCCATATACCTTTTTCTGTTTCATCATAGCTGACCAGTTAACAATCTGGACTGAAGTACTGGTACCCAACCACCATGTTGCCTGTTTTCCTAACTAACATGATTTAAGAGAAACTATTACCATTTTCTTCTCTGGTTCCACCGATCTGGCTGTACAAGTGCAGAACCCATATGCACCAATACTTGCAAGTGTTTAGAGAAACAAAACCACACTCTATAGAAACAGAGAAAATATTGTTTAAGAAACAGATAAGAATAACCCTGAGCGTCCTCTGTAGCAGGGCATTCAGTTCATTCTTGGATTGTCATATATTGACATATTGTGATATATTGACAAATACATTTTTATTCCAGCTTACTAAAATAGACCAAAATATTGGATCTGAAATATTGAATTGAAATATATCAATTGCCTAAAAAAATAAGCAAAAATGAAGTATTTGTTTGGCAGAATATGTGAAGCCCTGCTCATGATATAAAGATCAAAAATTATATATATTGTGGAAGCATTTTTACTAATTTGTTCCCTCGTTTTAGTTCAATCGTGGGCACGTTTTACTATTTTATTCCTTCTTAAGAGATAAATTGTGGGCACATTTTACTATTTTATTCCTTCTTAACAGTTAAATCGTGGGCACATTTTATTTACTTGTTCCCACAATATATTAAAATGTAGCCACGTTATATATATCATTTCTATCATTAACTTGTGAGTAGGGCTCCACAGTAATGCACTTGTAATATACAGAATCTTCCTGACCATTTATCCATCACAGCGTCACAGTGTCACAGACTGGGCAGGAATGAGGGAAACACCCCAGACACAACGTCAGTCCATTGCAGGGCACACCAAGCCATACAGTCACAAACGGAGGCCAGTCTAAAAATGCCAATTCACCTACCCACATTCTTTCTTGAGCTGTGAGGGGAAAAAAAAGTACATAAGAACAGGGTAAACACAGAAGTTTTTGTTTTTAATGTCTAAAAGATTCTGCTACGTAACTGATATTGAAGAGGAATTAAAATCATAATTGGCAGGGACAAATGGCTGTTTGCGCTGTCACTGTGTCACCTGCACTTCAATTTGTTTATGAATTCAGCTTCCTGGAAATACTAAGATGAAGTTATTTCACCCAGGCAGTTTAATCTGACGTAGAAAAAGAAGGTGTAATGCAACACACATTTTGATGTTGTTATTTACGGTTTACACAAATGATGACCTTTAGAAGCAAGCGTTCCAGAAATTTCAAGCCACACCCCAGAGTACGCAGCACACGTTTATTGTTTGTTAAAACAGTCTTGCTTCATTTAAACAAGGACCTGTGGGTGTTTTTGAGTTCTGCTTGAGCTGTCTAAGCCACACTAACCTGCGTCATGAATCATTAGCAATACAGATTGATTGAAGCCCCCCCCCCCCCTAAATTTTCCTTGTACCCTTCTTTGAAATGTTCAGCCAATAAAAAAGCTTTTATCTTATTTCTATTCTGATTGGCTAGATTTGTTGCATGAACTCTATACTACAGAAAATTATATAGAGAGGAATCTACTACTGTGCATCTCCTGTGAATGTAAAAGTATCACGTAAAAATTTTCGATGCCCACCTGAGACCTCAGTCAAGCTGCCATACTACCAGGCCTGATTGGCACTAATGTTAGTATTTAAAAATAACTGGCTTTTTTAAGAAAGGTAAAATACAATGATAATGTGGCATGGAGATTTCTAGTTCTCAAACCATTGAGTAAAAGTTTTTCAAATTTCTCATAATTGTACCCGGAGTATTGCCAGACGTTGACATCTGTTTGGATATTTCATGAGAAACACTGATTTTTAAGTCACCAAAATGGAGTGTATGTGCATCCTTCTTGTATCACAGGTGGGATATGACAGTAAATACTGTTTTTTATTATTATAACTATAAAAGCAAGTATACATGATTAATCACAGTAAATAAACCCTGTTTCTGAGTACTGTCTGTCCCAGTGTCTCACACAAAGGGTCAAATGAAGAGCTGAACACCAGAAACTGTGCAGTAATCTATACCTCAGGATGATTCTGTAAAAATGTGTCTGATAAGAATGTGGGATTCACATTCTTTTGACATTTGCAGTTTTATTTCAGCTGATAACAGACACTCTGTTTTAGGTTTCCGTTTTATTGACCGTGCGAGTAAGCCAGTTTGAAGCCGGTTTTTCATTTCATTTGAAAGGAGAGAGGAAAAAAACTGTTCTTGTTCTTCTGTTTTTATTATAATGATTGATAAAAACATATTTATAATAAAGAAAAAAGTTAAAATATCTGAATGAAAGGAATGAAAATATCACAGAAGACTTTTTAGCATTTATTTTAGTCGGCAGTGTTTGCAGTTTTAGTTGAAGTGTTTAGTTGAAAGAATGGTTTCTTTGGGTAGAATTATTTCATAAAAATTTAAAATGTGGTTAAAGTTGTGCCTCCTGCTTTTTTGAGTACAATTTTCTGCACAACGCGACACTGTAGTAGGTTTATAGGTTATGTGTTTTCTCAACACCATGCTGTGGTGTCTCTGAAAACATTACATTTATATTTGTTAGTATGACGTGGGCTAGTCTCTGCATGAGCCCCAAGGCCAACCAGCGAGGGCAGGTCAATGAAGGAAGACCAGACAAACTGAGAGCCCTGTATCAGCAATGGACTAGAAACTGAATGAGCCCCGAATGACACAAGTTCCGGAGTAGACTGGTAAAAAAGAAAAAAGGGCACTTACACTTTCAGATCACAGGTTGTCCTAAACTCCCAAACTGTCAGCTGTTTTTTTAAAACTAAACATGTATTTGAGGTGTGGCTGACAGGTCTGCAGTCGGAATGAAATGAAGTCGGAATACACACAGGACCAGCTGAGGGCCCAGGTGCGACCCTATCCACCACAAAGGGACCCAAGGTGACATTTTGTCAGGTGGCTCAGAATTCCTTGCTACGCCCCTGTGGACACACAAATAGAACCAAAAACAAACACTTACACTGTGACGTCTCTTGGGGGGGTGGGAAAATTGATTTATAGCCAGTAATTGATTTTGGAAAATCTGGAAATGTAAGTGGCTCTAATCTGGTTTGTCCCTCAAACACACCCAACCCGAACGTTTTCCTCTGGTATATTTGTGGGGACTTGAATTAGGCATCAAGTTACTATTTATATGGATATCAAAATAAGTAAGCCTCGATAACGATGTGCTTTAATTGATAAACACTAGGAGAAAGTGATCTTTACGGATCAATTGCCTCCAGAAGAGGAAGACAAGCCTGGAGAAATTGTTCATGTGGCTTTCCGGTCACCACAAGAGGGGGCCAGCAGTCTGTTACTGACGGGGCACACAAACTTATCTCAATATCAGTACACTTGAACGACAGCATAGGTTAGTAAGAAATTACTATATTTATCTGCATATACTTAGCTAAATATAATTTGCATTCAACATATAAGTTGAAGGAGGCATATGCTCAAAATAAATAATGTATTATTCCTCACATAAAAATATGTCAACACAAGTAATACAATCCATTCAAAACCTCTCGCTCATTTGAATTTTTAGTAACTATGAGTTTTCTAGATCCATGGCAATGTGTAGTGTCCTTAGATGGGTGGTGTACGTAATTAATATTTCTGCAATATCAACAACAAACGATCTTCAGCAAAAGTATCTTAAATACCATCTTAATTCCTGTATGCTTCCATCTGATTTCAAGAATTATTTTACAATTTAAAGAACTAAAAGTTGTAAATAAGGACAAATATATTTTAACTTTTTTATTGACGACTTACAAAGGGCATAGATGTTACACTCGCTCTTAACGATATGCTGATGAAAACTGAAATATCAGTTCTTTCGCTCTTAATGTCTCATTTTGATTTTAGTGTTAAAACGTTGTTTCTTTTTAATATAGTGATTTTAATGTTTATATTATTATAGAAAGCAGGACATAAACTAATAGTAAAAATAATAGGCTACCAGACAAGGCCGCCTATAAGGGTGGAGAATGGCAGTAGCGACTATTAAAATTATTAACTAAGGTGGTCATCAGGGGGTAGTAATATTTATGAAGGTAACGCGCCGCACTTTGTCTCTTCCATGGTCCTGCTTAAAATATTCCATATTTTATTATTACTATTTTGTGGAGTGGCAACAAAAGTTGTCACGTATTTACTTGGGGGTGCACTCCTTAGATCCGTCCCTGGAGAAAGGAAAAGATATTCGGGGATCCAGAAACTAGTGATTAGGGAAATGGAACGATCGATCGGCGATACCAACCTTAAACTGTATTACGTCTCTCAAACGCCTTCGGCAGCTGCCATCATTTGATGACGTCATTATTCGGAACGCCATCCAGGGTAACCAGAAATATGCCTGATGAAAACGTGTTGTGTCAAAATAAAATCACAGAGCTCGCCGGTTTTAAGTTACATTAGCAAAACTTTTTCACATGAGTTGATATATTTTGTCACCTATAACGTTTAACTTTAAAATGAGTTCAAGTAACAGATTAAGGTTAGCTAGTTAGCGAAAGTTGTCTTAAATGCGACAGGTACTAAATGGTCCAAAACGTGAAAAGCGGTATCAACAATCTTTACCTATACTTAATGAGCTAGTTACTTAGTGAGTGAGCTGTTTAGTAAATACTGTGTAATGCAGCAAAGTTTGCTAGCTGGTCTCTATGGCAACACGAATTCCGGAAAGGGAAGTAACGAGATTAAAAAAACAAGTTGGCTAGGCCTCCGGAAGAGGCGACTGATAGTTTGGGCGACTTTAAAAAGACGTTTTAATTTAACGTTGATGTAACGCCTCGGACCTTTGTTATTTCGACAATGGGGACATCAGCCAGCCAGCTGCCGAAGGACTTGCTGTCTGAGTACCAGGTGAAGTAAACACAGTCGGCTAACGTCTTTTGCTAACTAATAAAAACTTTGGGTGGCGGTCAGCTTTCTACAACGAAACTACTAAAATATGTTTCCCATGTTCATTTATTAAGTGTATTTGTTGTTTCAGGAGCTGACATTTTTAACGAAACAAGAAATCTTGTTGTAAGTGAATTATTTCATTAAGATTATCGATTAGTCATGTAAAATGCATTAAAATGTCTTAAAACGTCGTTTTAATGTCAAATTAATTTGCATTTGAAGCGCAGTGACTGACACATGGATTTTGATCACTATTTAATGATGTTGAAAAGTTTATGTCTTTATATCTAATTGGGGCATTTAACCCTTGATAGTCAAGGGTTAAATGCCCCAATGCCACAGTCAAACAAATAACAATAAAAGCTGGCTTAAATGCCGTGAAAGGAAAACATGCAAATTCGGATTTTGATTCTGATATTTTGTATTTTGAGGGCTCACAAAAGATTCACTGAACTCCTGGCCAAAGATGACAGGAGCTGCTCTAATCCCCGGCTGCCCATGAGTAGGATTCTTACATTACCAGAACTCAAGGTATTAACTACTTTAGGGGATGTTATCTAGAGTAACATTGGCATAAATCCAAGAAAATAACTCATTAATGAGAAGCTCCACCTCTTATTGTTCAACTCAAGGACACCCCCATCTCCTCTCCCCATCCAGTCTAACCCTTTCAAGGAAAGGATATGTCTCGTGTTCTCCACATCTGATAACAAAGATGGCAGCTTGACATTTGAGGACTTCCTAGACCTGTTAAGTGCCTTCAGCGATTCTGCTACTTCAGACATTAAATCTCACTATGCATTCCGCATTTTTGGTAAGGAGTCTCATGTCCGGCAGCACCCTGGACTTGGGGGTGAGGGGGTGTGCATTTACAGGCTCTGCTTTTCTGCTCTGTCAGACTTTGATGATGATGGAACCCTGGACCGCAAGGACCTGGAGAGGCTTGTAAACTGCCTGACTGGGGACACAGACGAAACCAGACTCACCTCTGATGAGATGAAGCAGCTTATCAACAACGTGAGAGTCTACAGTGTTTTGATTAGTCTTCCTAGCAAAACCTGATGTGTAAAACATAACACAGTTTCCTTGGGCATCTTTTGCTAATTAAATAACTAATTAAGTAACATGTGGCTGAGTATAACTAATATTATGGACAAGCTAACGCTAGGAAATTTAACAAACAGTTGTCTATGTTTTTTTGTTTTTTTTCTTTCTATTGTGAAAATTGTGGTGGAAAAGGTTCATCAGTGAAGTAGTCGTTATCTCTGTGGTCATCTATAGATCCTTGAGGAGTCAGATATCGACAAAGATGGAACAGTGAACCTCTCAGAATTCCAGCATGTCATCTCCAGGTCTCCAGATTTTGTCAGGTAAGCATTTGGAAAATGTCATCACCCTGTATTTGTGACATTATTTTGAAGATTTTTTTTAAATACAACCTTCTCTCCAGTTCTTTTAAGATTGTGCTGTGAGCTCTCTAGTGTGACCAGCTGACCTGAACCAGAACAAAGGAGCTACACAAAGTCTGTCTCCTTCCTGAATGAGCCCTTTCTTTCTTTCTTTCTTGTCTCTTGAGGGTGCATCTTAAATTACCCGAACTGTCCATTTTAATGTAGTCTTTGACTAATTGTTTGCGTTTCAATGCTTTGATCCTATGAAATTGCTTTTTAAACAATTTTAAGACTTTTTACAAAATATTGAACTGTGACTGAGCTTGTGTGAAGAAATTCTTTTATCTGTTTTTAATACGTTAATAAAATTATATTAACTAAGAGCAGTACCTCTGTCCATCCATCCATCATGCTATGGGCTGTCTGTCTATGAAGCATTATGAAATGGCTTTCGGAACATTCCGGAAATGCAGAAGAAAAATTTATTATAATTAATTATTGGACAGTTTAGTGTAGGCATAAAACAAATGTAGTGTCTCCCTTGGCATTGTTTCCTGGCCTGTTTTCATACATCAGCACCATCAACTCTTGGGGCAGAGGGAATGGAACGGTGGAGCTGAGTTATGTTTAAAAGCTGGTTGGCATTCAGGAGAAGTAAACTTGTCCTACTGCTGTACTGGTAAACTGCAGTACCTCGTGCAAAAATGTTTGCCAGCTGGATCCTAACCTGCAATGACCCCTGCATCAGTTTATCCTTGTTTAAAAAACGTAGAAAACCAGGCACTCTGTAGTGTTACGAGAAATATCTAGTTGCTTCTATGATGCCTTTATTAAGTGTTTTCCATCAGCTATGCTTCAAAGTAACCAAATTGCACTGAACAGTTACTTCTTCCTTTGTGTTTGACCAGCATCAATTATTTTTTCTTTTTTCAAATAGTGTCATTCTTGATTTGACAATAAGGAGTTGTAGACTTAAGTTGTAGTAACACCATCTGATGCACATACCAGACATACAGTAATTCGGGGGGGCTGTCTGTATCTGAATAAACAACCACTCAGTTCCCAGTTAGAAGGTAACATGCTGTGTTCAGGTGCACATTTCACCCATCTACACACTAACTGCGCCTTATTAAGTTATGTTAATAGAGCTGGTTTTGAGATAAAACTCTGTGACATGATTATAAAAAAGATGCACAGGGAGTAATCAGATGCACTAAAGCACATGTTTGCTACTTTTACAGTTTACATCTAAAACTGTTGAGAGTTTTACTCAGCCTGCCAGGGTGTGAATGAATTTGTCACACTGTGCATTTCTGTGTAGTTGCAAAAGAGTGAAAAATTACCTCAACAGCTGTGGGACAATCTGATAATTTACCTTTGATGTTTGTGACTGACTGAGATATGCAATGATTCCATGAATACTTGATGTTACAATGCATGTTGTAGTAATCAGTTTTTCCACTAAAAATGATACATTTATAAACACAAAGTTTGGATTTAAGCTTTACGAAAAAGAAGATAGAAGTTATTAATTCCAATCAAGGAAATGTAGTAATTGCAGCTTATCTTCGGAAATAATGGTATGCTGAAAAACATGCACCCATAAAAACAATTTACTGTCTATGACACAGGACATAAGGTGTGAGGACTTTATAAATGCTGCTGACAGCTATACCTTGACTAGAGAACTGGGAGTTCTCCAGTATACCAGTGTGGTCCCTGGCAAAGGTAGCTGGAGAGACAATAAGCTGTCTTATAACTTGTCCCTGAGTAAAATCGAAAGCTCAGTCTTTTGAATACTGAGGTGACTGCAAGAAGTTGTGTTGGTCCAGTTGCCGTGGAGATGTGGAGACTCCTGAGGGACCTTCTGCTGAGGTAGAGTTAAGTTCCTGTTGCTATGACAGAGATGCGCCTGGTTACCTTTAGGGACCAGGAGGCCAGCCAACCAGCGGGGGCAGGTGTGGTACTTTGTAAGTGCGCTGGCTTCCACAGTGAGCCCTCGGGTGTGACAGAACCACAGAAGGTCCACCACCATCAGGACCATCACAAGGGCCCCGTAGAGAAGGACCACCAGCAGACAGACTGGTCGGCTACTATGGGAAACAGAACACTTGTGTGACTCATTGCGAGCATTGTAATTGGTCAGAATTCTAACATTTCATAATGTTTTAAATGTTTAGTGTTTTGTTTCTTTTATAAAATAGTGAACATCATTTCTGAATAAATTCACCTGCAGTCTGTTTAAATTTTGATAGAAAATAAACTATTTTGATAGCATGAGGTTCTAGAATGACTTTGCCAAAACAATGGACCTACCAGCTCTTAAATTATTGAGGTTTCATTTCAGGTCAGATTTCCGGCAGGAAGCTTTAAGTATTTAGGTATGGCTGTTTACATCTCCAGCAACTACATGCCAGCTTTACTGTATGAATCCGACACTGTCTGAATAGACATTCAAATACACGGCACGCTGTCTAATCGCTGGAGCGCAGTGCGCAGCTGTGGAGGTGCCACAGCTAAATGCCTGCTATTGCTAATCACTGGAAGTTTCTCTAAGGATGGATGGTAGAAAGATAGCAGGCGGGGCTGAAAAAGTCAAACTGCTTAAACAGTTCAATGTGCTGTCTGTTAATTATTTTCTTCTTGAGATATCAGTAATAAACGGGATGATAAGACTTGAACTGTGGCATCATTTATGAGAGTACAAACTGGGCTGGAATTTGGCATCCCACTCTGTGCCTGGGTACAGCAGTTACTGACCTGTGACCAAAGCCCATGGAGTTGTTCTCCAACATGCTGGAGTTCATAATGCTTTGGTATTGCGATTGGTTGCAGCAATGTTTGAGGTCGTCTCCTTGCCAACAGCAGTAGGACAGATCCGGGAAATCGGAAAGACGGGGGCAGTGGAAGCCGGAGTGCTGCCTTCTTTGGGTGTCTGAGTAGCCCTCACAGAGCATCACGACAGTGTGGGGGTTCCTTGGGTAAATAAGAAAACTCTAACGAAAGAGATTGGAGAGTGGACTGTTCAGTCACAATCTAATGCAGACCTATATGTGTGGGGGGTGGCCGAACAACTGAAAGTGCCCTCATCTGATGTTGACACAACCCTAATCCCCCCCCCCCCATTCGAGCACCTGCCCCTCGAAAAGTATCTGCATAGTACTGGTAATAACTAAAATATTACATACAATAACCAGTGTACGCTTAACAATAACACAACTATCCTTACATATATAGGCCTTCTGTAAATAACAAAAACTAGTTTGTAAAATAAATTTCCTTTGCCATTAACATGAAATATTAGGAAAAGAATATAAACATCTTACATCTTACCTTGCGGGATGCTGTCTTACTGCTTGCTAGGACAGAGAAGACAGAGGCGGATCCTGCTTCCTCCGTAATGACAGAGTAATTCAGAGTGGGAGATACAGAATTATGTCCCCTGAGAGTATCTGCTTAGAGACATGGCAATTAACTGTCACCTGGCTTGCTTTAATCAGTTGGTTTTTACACTGTGCATTTCACGGAAAAAAGTCATGCTTCTAGAATCTTTTATCGCCCGAGTGTACATGACACTAAATATGTATATATTATTAATACAATTATGTACCATAAAATCATGAAGCAAATGAATCAGGTTTTAAAGTTTTAAATTAAAGTGGTACTGTTCAGCTGGAAGTAAGTAAAAGCTGTGTTTGGGAAACTTGAAAGGACTTGTCACATTCAATAGGACCTGTTTCATATCAGAATGTTAAACTTAAAGCCAGATGACTTGAATGAAGTCCGGCCAGGTTAAAATTTTCTGAAAGATCAATACATTCCATACATGGTGTTCCCTACCTTGACCCTGTGGCTTTTGGCTCATTGTTCATCCTGTATTGGGTATATGTCATAGAAAATGTATGAATAGATTTCCTGCAACTCACCAACAGAAATAGTTTACTAAAAATACCAGATTTCTTTGAGTAGTTTGGTGCGTTTGGTGCCGCCAGGAATAGGTCTTTATATTTATTAATAGTATAAAGGGTTTCCTTTGGAATGGTATTTTCCAGTCCGGGCCGTCATTATATGAATATATGTAGGTCATATTACTCTGTCCTGACAGTTCCGCCGGTGTTTCCAACAGCTTTTAAAATATCAATTACAGCAAATATAAAAATCATGAGTATCTTTTGTTACTTAAAGTATTGTGCAATGCGGCTTATTACTTTTTAATTCTATCGCGTATATTTACAGACGTTCAAATAAAAATACGTCAGCGGTTTCAGGGTTGCTTTTACGTATTGGTTAGACAAATTTCCACTTAGTGAATTCACTTTTTCTTTATATAAAATATCGGTATGAGGGGTCTGCATTGACCTCCAGAAAAATATGAACAAATAATCAGCGACGAGAATGCTCCTCGATGTCCCAGAATGACTTGCGGAGCGGTCGATGCTTGGCTCCTTCGGTATCCCAAAATGCCTTGCGCCATGTAGCTCCTTGGCGATGAGAGCGCCCCTAAGTATCCCAGAACACCCTGCGCCGCACAGCGCGAGTCTTTTGCATCAGGATGAGCGATGGAGTAACGGTAACGGTAAGCGTACGTAGTGGGAAGCGAAGCTGTAGCGGGGATGCGCCGAGTCCGGTGGAGCCCACCAGAGCCCAGCAGACCCCCCGGCGCGTCCCGCTGCTTTGCAGGCAGGACGTACGCCGGCCGGTCCGGCTAAGTCGATGTGAAAGATAGTACAGCCGCGAAACCGAGTGAAAATATATATAAAAATAAAAGGCAAAAGCCGACTGGAATTAGCTAGCTAGCGAGCTTGTCAGCCAGCCGGCGCAGAGCTCGACGCTGAACTCCAGTTTTATTTTTATTAATCAGTTTGGAGAGATTCTTGGTGAGAATTTTAGAGATAATGTCATGTCTGCCGGCGTTAATAAGGTGAGGGCAGGTTGTGAGATGCTGTTCGGTACGGCGTCGACAGCGAAAGACAGTGATATAAAATTGTAAAATATATTTTAAAAATATGTACATACACACGTATATTTGACACATAAAAACACCGAGTGGAGCTTCGGAGCGCCGGACCAGGCATGGCTCGGCTGCCCGAAACGCTGCACCGTGGCGCTTATCCCGTACTCCTGTCATCGTTACGGGGCTGCGCCGCTTGCTGACAAAGACCATTCGCCGCTGGGAAGGCAGCCCTAAATACATCGCTTTATTACGCCCGCGCCGCGCAAATGCAGCGGACGTTCCTGTTGATGTCCTTCATTCGTCCACGATTTCCTGGAAGGCTGGTAGTATTTGATCCATCTGTGACTGAAGCCCAAAAAAACCGGACGCGCAAGGCGCTATATTTAATCAGTGCGTGGAGGCTGAGTAGCTGCGGTGGGAGACGTGTGCCTTGGCTGACCCGATTAAAAGGCGGTGTGTGCGACATGTGTATGCGCAACTTACATTACCGTATTATAGATGCGGCTGAATCAGAGGTGCGTCCTGTTATTGTATTAACGCTTAAAGTCCAGTTCATGATGCGGCATTGCTTTGCCAGGCAAAAAGGTCTGAGGGTTTTGAGTTATATTTTTATTACACTGCATGTTTTGACGGATTATTGTCCTGCTTCCAGGTGCCTGAATATTGCAGCGAGATCCGGGGGCTCCGTGAATGCAGCGTGTGGCCTTGAGCTGCTCGGGCACGATCCCGCAGGATTGGGTGTCTGTCACATTATCGACCGGTCCACCTCTTCCTGGGACCTTCTGGATCAAGCTTCGCTCTTGCACAGGAACAAATCTTAAAGGTGAGCCTTCGAGGTGCTTTTGTGTTTGATCTCCTGAAGACATGGCAATGTGAGAAAATGCATTTTACCGTCGTAAAAGCTGTTCATCACTGAGGTCTTTTTGTAATGTAGTTTTTAAAAATAATTAAGACAAGCATTCTATTTTTTAAAGGTCTTGTGGTAAAATTGATATCTACCTTTTAGGGAGAAGATATATTTGAAAACATTGGTCTTTTTCATGTTTAAGAAAGCTTGAGGTTGCTTGGTCATAATTTTTTTTCATTGATGTCACAGTTGAAAACAGAAGATTTGTTTTGCGTCTAGCCAAGCCTCATTAGAGCGAGAGAGAATATGCTGTGTGAAATCTGAACATGGAGACGGGGGACTTAAATCTTAAGTCATGTGATTTATTGTCTTCAACAAGAAGGAGCACCTGTTCAGTTCATACTGAAATGCTGACTTTGATGCAGTGCTTATGCTACGTGACTAACAGTTAAATGTTCTCTAAAGTGCCTTTCCTTCTGTTCCAGGGACAGATTCAGGACCAAAAATAAATATCCAATTGAGCGTCAGCTCATTACACTGAAATTTGGTGTACTCTTGGATTGAGACCAAGCCGGAGGAAAAGAGTTCTACTTATAGCCAGAGAGATTTGGGTTTGGGGCAGTGGGTGAGTTTTTATACCGACAGACTCAGCAGGACACCGTGACATCCAGTGTATCTAACGATCCGGATTCTCCAGCGACTGAAAAGGAGTTCGACAAAGAGCTGCCGTATCACATTCATCCGCTACAACTAGCCTGCTGCGTCTGCTGCTAATGGCAGGTGCCTCAGCAGCAAACCGGGTGAAAAGGGAACTCTGTGTGCACTGGATTGTACCCAGCGCTGCAGGTTGGACTTGCCCAGCCGAGTCGGGAGAGGGAACCCCACTCTCCACAGTTACAAAAGGCTCCCCAACTGGACTGTTTTGTTCAGAGAGCCTTTCCTGGCTCGCAGGTCTGGATGATCTCGCATGAGTTCTGTGTCTTGGAAGACAAGTGGTGACATTAGGTTGGCCGCAGCTGAAGGACGGCTTGTCTTTCCTTCGGAACATCTTGCCTTGTAATTTTTATTTTTTAATTCTCTCGCAAAAGTACCCAGTTTGGAGGACAGATGCTCATTACGGAAAGTTACTTTGATTAAGAACACTCGCGGGCTTAAGGATCTACCATCACGCCTGAGCCAAGACTTTGTTTGGTGCTGGAGGGAGGGGTTTAAAAAAATTGATTCCTGCTGTTTACCCCTCCTTGGTGAAGCAGACAGGAAGTGCACGTCTGACTGGGGCGGCAGGACAGAATGAAGCTGAAGAAGCAGGTGACCGTTTGCGGTGGGGCCATTTTCTGCGTGGCCGTCTTCTCCCTGTATCTGATGCTGGATCGCGTCCAGCATGACCCAGCAAGGCGCCAGAACGCTGGCAACTTCCCCAAGGTAAGATGGGGGCAGAACCGGCACACGTGTCGTCCTGGGCATGCTGCAGGTTCTCTGTTGTTGCAGTAGTTGTGTGGAATTCTAACAAAGACCGAAGGCGAGACTCCGGCTCGATTATGCGCGGGTATCAGTTACATACGGCAGTGTAAGTAATTGGTGTAACAATGTCACTGAGCTGTTTGAGTCTCAGAGCAGTTGGCAGGTTTTAGCGCTGCTTCATATTCAGCGTAATGTAATTAAGGTGGCAACGGCGCTTCCCAGGGGCTCTGTGTGCTCTTGGGTGACGTCTGCCCAGCTGCTCAACGTGAACCGTGAGGTCCTGTTGTCGACTGTGTGTTTTCAGAGCCAGATCTCCGTGTTGCAGAACCGCATCGAGCAGCTCGAGCAGCTCCTGGAGGAGAACCATCAGATCATCAGCCACATCAAGGACTCGGTGCTGGAGCTGACGGACACGGGAGCTGTGGCGCCCAGCGGCCAGCTGCCCTTCCGCAGTGCCAATGGCTCCTGGGTTCTGCCGTTTGACGGACGGCCTGCCTTCCTCTCAGTCATGCCGCAGGACTGTCAGTTTGCCCAGAGCAAGCGTAAAGACCCCGAATTGCAGGTCAGCTGCGTGTCCTGTTTCGCCGTTTCCGTTTCTTCCACAAGAGCTCTGGTGGCTCCGTGAACCATGAAAATCCCTCATGCACTTAATTAATCTGTCAGTCTGTGTGGATTTTAATATTTGTAGGCGTTTATTTTCATGAGGAATTTTTCCTCCCCCGTGTCGCAAGACTTGGTATCTCAGAATTTCTATCAATTTTCTTGGTTTTGGAATTTGAATAATCCTTGCGACAGCATGTTTTGAAAAAAATGTGATGTATTAAAATCTGATTGGCCATATTGATCCTTCATTAATGGTTTGCAATGGGTGGTGAACGTATTGGGTTGGCCCCCGCAGATGCTGGATGTGTACTCGCTGCTGAAGTTTGACAACATGGACGGTGGGGTGTGGAAACAGGGCTTCGAGATCACCTACGAGCCCAACGAGTGGGACTCTGAAGACCTGCAGGTGTTTGTGGTGCCGCACTCTCACAATGATCCAGGTGGGTGCTCTGGAGCAGCATGGGAAAGTGTTCAAATCCTACCAGAAGCAAAACACGGCTTCTTTTCCAGAAGCTTCTTTATTTGTAGTTAAAAACACAAAGTATAAACTGGTCCAGCAGTAATCGGAGGTGGTTTGCAGTGCTCCATTGTGTTGCTGCAGTAGGGGTACAGTTTCATTTTCATCGGTATTGACAGGAACCAGTGGGGGAGGGGGGCTCTGTCCTTGGCATAGTCATCTGAGAAGTCGCCGTCATTGTGCCTGGCTCCAGCGTTACCGCGATCCTTCCGACACTGACAGGCTGGGTCAAAACGTTCGACAAGTACTACACTGACCAGACTCAGCACATCTTGAACAACATGCTGACCAAGCTGACTGAGGATCCCCGGCGCAAGTTCATCTGGTCCGAGATCTCCTTCTTCGTCAAGTGGTGGGAGAGTGTGGACGCGCAGAAGCAGGAGGCCATGCGCAGGTGAGACACGGGATGCTGGGCCTTCGACTCGTCCCAGTAAGACGTCTCTGGTACGGCTGGGAGGAACGTCCGTGGGAGAGTCGTGCTCTGTTAATCTGGCCCGGGTTCTCCGGGGATAAAAGAACTTCAGAGGGAAACTTTGTACCACTTTCTGCTTCCCTGAGACCAGCACAATGTGCTGAGGAAAGAGAGCCAAGCTCCTAGAATAGATGGCCTTTTCGAAGGCCTAGCTGAGCGTGAGATGGCCTTTCTCCACCACGGGACACTGTGTCCTTGGTCCTTTTCAGGCTCATCCTCGGAGGCCAGCTGGAGATGGTGACTGGAGGCTGGGTGATGACTGATGAGGCAAATGTTCACTACTTTGCCATGATCGACCAGCTCATCGAGGGCCATCAGTGGCTGGAGAGACACATAGGTAATCTGGGGTGTCGGGCCTGGAGGCTAGGGGGGGAGTTCAGAAACCCATAACGCAAAAGAAAGCTTGACCTGAATTGCTCCATTAAAATATCCTGCTCTGTAAAATCAGAGACGTTCTCATGCTAAGTGAAGTTTAACCATGGTTATTTATCTGGGGCAGGATTGAACCCACGCTCCGGCTGGGCCGTTGACCCTTTCGGCCACAGTGCCACCATGCCCTACCTGCTGAAGAGGGCTAACCTGACCAGCATGCTCATCCAGAGGGTCCACTACTCCATCAAGAAGCACATGGCTGCTACCCGCAATCTGGAATTCATGTGGAGACAAGCGTGGGGTGAGAGCACCTCGCCATCCCTCGTTTTCAGAAACTCTCGTCCGGTCTTGCGTATCTGTTTTTCACCACCCCTTTACTTCTGCTCCTGCCTACAGACCTGGGTTCCAGCACAGACATCTTCTGCCACATGATGCCTTTCTACAGCTACGACGTCCCTCACACCTGTGGCCCCGATCCCAAGATTTGCTGCCAGTTTGACTTCAAGAGGCTGCCGGGCGGCAGGGTGAACTGCCCCTGGAAGGTGCCCCCTCGGGCTGTGGTTGAGGCCAACGTGGCAGAGAGGTGAGTCCCACTCCCTGAACCTGTGTTTTCAGAGGTCTTCAGCCCACATGATGAGCCCTCCCTTTTAACACACTCAGGGCAAGCCTTCTTCTGGATCAGTACCGGAAGAAATCCAAGCTCTTCCGCAGCAAGGTGGTTCTGGTTCCCCTGGGAGACGACTTCCGCTATGACAAAGCTCTGGAGTGGGATCAGCAATACCTCAACTACCAGAGACTCTTTGACTACATGAACTCCCATCCAGAGATGCACGTGCACGTAAGAGTCGGCCGTATCCCATGGAGACTGTGCTGTAATGGCAGCTTGCTGCTACTCAGGCATCTACTTGGTTTCTACAGGCTCAGTTTGGGACGCTGACTGAGTACTTCAACGCTGTCTACAAAGCAAAAGGAGTGACACCGGGGACTAGACCCCCCGACTACCCGGTGCTGAGTGGAGACTTCTTCGCTTACGCCGACCGGGAGGATCACTACTGGAGTGGATACTACACCTCACGGCCCTTCTACAAGAACTTCGACCGTGTCCTGGAGTCCCACCTCAGGTCTGTGCTGTTTGCAGGGCGCTCGGCTTGTTCAAAGCGGGAGGAGAAGGCAGTGATGAAGGTTCACCCTCCTGTTCCCTGTAGGGGAGCTGAGATCCTTTACAGCCTGGCCGTGGCTCATGCCCGCCACCTGGGCATGGAGGGCCGGTACCCCGTCTCGGACTACGCCCACCTGACCGACGCCCGCCGGAACATTGGCCTTTTCCAGCACCATGATGCCATAACGGGCACCGCCAAGGAGATCGTTGTCATTGACTACGGGGCCAGGTACAGAATGCCGAAGAGGGATTCTGCTCCTGTCATTTAAAAATGAAAATTTCACATTTGCAGCTCGAAGGCAGATGTGCTCACAGCATGATCCCGTCTCCAGGCTTTTGCGGTCCCTCATCGGTTTGAAGAAGGTGATCATAAACGCGGCTCACTTCCTCACGCTGAAGAATAAAGACCTGTACCGTTTCTACCAGACGGAGCCTTTCTTGGAGACGGTGAGATGATCTCGATGGGAGTAGCGTGTGTGTCCCAGCCGCGCGCTGCCAGTCAAATCCGTGTGCCACCCCTGAAATCTGGTGTCCTCTGCGATTCCAGGACGAGCGGCGAGCGACACAGGACTCCCTCCCCCAGCGCACGCTGATTGAGATGGACCCATCGCCAAGGTAAAGTGCTGAGAATCCCTCCATCCCTGTGGGCGATGCCTACTTCTCATTCTTTGTTACTCGTTCCCCATTTTGCAGAGGGAGTAAACATGTTGCTTTGGGGGGGATAAGTTTCCCGTTTTATTCTGATCTTGTGAGAGTGAATCTCAAAGTGGCTGCTGAATATTTTTGGACATCAAGGTTTGGGTTTCTGGCCTGGTGTACAATGTTTGTGTTTTTTGAGTGCGTCCTGGGGTGTTTCGAGTGACCTGAATAGGGTGCCAGTCAGCAAGGAGAATGGAACACTCTGGAAGCGTGGAACCCCGGATCCGTTTGGGGGTTGATAGTTGAGATGAAGGCTTAGACGAAGCACCATGCTAATGGTTTACATATATGTAGCTTCCTGTTTGCTTGCATGTGAACTGCCTCCTATGTGCCCTGTGTCTGCCAATAGGTACCTGGTGGTGTTTAATCCGGTGGAACAGGAGCGGCTATGCCTGGTGACCATCCTTGTGAACTCGCCTCGGGTGCGGGTCCTCACGGAGGATGGGCAGAGCCTCGCAGCCCAACTCAGTGCTCAGTGGAGCTCCCCCACGGAGATGAGCTCCGACGGGTACCAGGTGGGCGTGCCCGTCGGCCCCGTGAGCGGAGCACTGTGCCTCGGGGCTGGAGGGAGCTTCAGCTCTGGGCTCATGCTTCCCTACATCCATATGGGGGCGGTAGTGGGCTCGTCTTGCACATCACATTACATGCTTTCATCATTCATCCCCGACATCTGGGATGGTGGGTTCCAATGTGGGAACATCAAGGCTGTGATGTGAGAAGCTTGGTCCAAACATCTGTTCTGGTTTCCATGGTGACCACATGGGATGTGGTGGTTTTCCTTTTTAAACATGTGCTTCAAACACTCAGCGCGTGTTTTCCACACATTTCTTTCCCTTGGTCCAGCTCTCCTTCACGGCTCGACTCCCTGCCCTTGGCCTCTCCGTGTTCCACCTGTACGACTCTGCCGACTCGCCCCTGACACTGCGCTCTGACTCCCTCCTGCGGCTGAGCGGGCGGACGCAGGCCGGCCGGGCCGTGGACCCCCTACAGCTGCGCACGCAGGCTGCAGACGACCACAGATTCTACATCCGCAGCCGAAGCCTCACGCTGGGCTTCTCCGGAGCCACGGGCCTCCTGGAGGTCAGGGGGGCTGCAGGGTGGGCTTGGAGGCGGGGGGGGGGGGGGGGTGCGTGCCCGTTAGTCTCCACTCTGGTCCTGGTACACTTGCATTCATTCTTGGTCTGATGGTCGCTAAGTTGGTTTGTTCAAAGTACTGGCCTCAAGCTCAGGGTTCTGAGGCACGCATGTAGCCATGTAGTAAAACCATGTAGCCCACAGTAAAAATTATGATACCCCTTTCGGTCGGCAAAATTTATGGGTGAGACCCCCCCCCCCACACACACCTCTCCGAATGGCGAAAATTATGCAGGAGGTCTGGACTCCCCCACAAAATATATTTCTGGCTGTTCCAAAGGCTCCAGTTCAGCCATCTTGACAAACTACAAGCAGGACCAGGATCCCCTGAAGGGTGTTTATACCCAACAGTTGGTCATTGATCAGTCTTGACACCCAGGCTGTTGAGCCAATGTCTTTGTCAGGTTAGCAGCGGACTGGGGGGGGACGCGGCCAGTGTGGTGAGTGTAAAGTGTTCCTTTGACAGACAATCCGGCGAACGGGCGACCCTCAGGAAGTGAAGGTCCACATGGAGTTCTTCATCTATGGCACCCGGCCATCCAAGGACAAGAGCGGGGCTTATCTCTTCCTGCCGGACGGAAAACCTAAAGTATGTCCACAGTGCTCTCTTATTGGCCTCTCTAATAACGTGAGGTGTGGCGTTTCACGTCATGCTCCTCCATGCCTCCAGCATTATACCCAGCGGCAGCCCCCAGTCGTCCGTGTGGTGGAGGGCCCCCTCTTCTCTGAAGTGGTTTCTCACCACCAGCACTTCCAGATAACTGTCCGTATTCACAACATCCCAGGTACCCGCGCCACACACACAAACACAAACAAGGTGGTCTTTCCGGTTGTGTGTGGACTTCCCAAGAACTGCTATGGCGTTACTCATTTCTGATCGTCCACAAAACGCTAACACGCAAACTGATAGTGGAAAGGCTAAAACTTGTTTTGCTGACAGATAGTAATAACATTTCTTTTTTTGGTTGCATCCCAATGATGTATTCCAGTAAAGACCATTTGATACAAACGCAGTGGCACCGTAAGCCTCTATTTTTATGATATACTTGCCAGGGGTGGACGGCCTCTCTCTGGACATTACCACTATGGTGGACATCAGAGATCAGGCCAACAAGGAGCTGTCTATGCGCCTGGTCACTGACATCCAGAGTGAGGACACCTTCTTCACCGATCTCAATGGCTTCCAGGTGACTACTGAAGACTTGTTGTCTGATGCTGGGAAACCTGTCATTTAATATAGCATCTTGTAGGATGTTACGTGTACATTGTGGTAGCGTGTATTAAAAATCCCCTGTCTACTCCGTGTAGATTCAGCCACGTCGCTTCTATAAGAAGCTCCCCCTGCAGGCCAATTTCTACCCCATGCCCACCATGGCTTACATCCAGGACAGCCAGTACCGCCTCACCCTGCACACGGCCCAGGCGCTGGGGGTGACCAGCCTGGACAGCGGTCAGCTTTCCAGAGAAGCCCACACACACACACACCCACACGCCAGCTTCTGGGGTCTCATTTACTGTATCGTGTTGCTGCCTCCTTCAGGCCAGCTGGAGGTGATCCTAGATCGACGCCTCATGCAGGACGACAACCGCGGGCTGGGACAGGGGCTGAAGGACAACAAGAGGACCGCCAACCGGTTCCGGATCCTGCTGGAGAGGCGAGCCGGCGCTAACAAGGTAGCCGGGCAGGGGCAGCCGGGGCCAAGCGGGGGCCCCTCACTGCATGCTCGTAGGTGGCACTGTGCTTAGCCTGTAGCGTGCGCAGCCAATTGGTCAGATTCCCTTTCATTAGCAGCTTACGGGAAATGCCAGTGAATTATCTGTTGTAAGCAGTATTTTTTTCTGATTGTTTTCAGTGGTGACAAAGTCCCATTTAGCAGCGGGTTCCACTTCCCAATAATCCAGACCCTAATGAACAGGCAGAAAAACGTGCCTGCAATTAATATGCCATCGTTTATCTCTGCTAAGCTCCATCATGCTGCAATAATAGGATCTGGGCATCATAGGAGGAGCTGAAAATGACTCCATTGTTTGTCCTGACTAGCAGATCACTGCTGTTAGACAGGGAAAATGAGAAGGAAATCTTGTGCGGTGCGACCCAGCACAAATTTAATTACGTGGCTGGAATATTGACTTACTCCAAGGATTAAGCTACATCGGTCACAAACATGAAGCTTAGTTAAAGATCCTGAACAGGGACTGCAGCTCAGTGAGGACTACGGCGCCGGGTTCGAGGCCATGGGCTGGCAGGGTGGTAATGAGGTATCAGGCCAGAGGCGTGGGTAATTAGCGGCTTTGGCTGCGTGAGCTCTGCCTTAATGAATCATCCTGTGTTCATTAACCCCTTCTCCCTCCCTCCTTCCCTCCCTCTCTCTCTCTATAACCCGTTTCCTCCACTACACGCTAACTCCACTCAGCATGCGGGCTTTTTTGCCACCCTGTCATCCCTCTTTCATTTTCTCATCTCCCACATCTTTGGAGGCGGAGCTGATGAGGTAACGTTGCCAGGGTGATGGGGGCGGCTGTGGGCCCCACCCATTTCTGTGCAGTAGCCTCTGCATTTAGTTTTAGCTTCTGTAGCCCCTGTGGTTTGAATACAGCCAAAGCAGCTTTGATATGAACCCACAGGGCCTGGTGCTTTAAAACGCACTGCTGTTAACTTGCAGTTGACTGTTTAGACTGAATGCAGATCAAGAAACCTAGTGCCTAACTGAGAAGCTCTGCCTTTAAGGTAGAGTCTGATTGCTCTGTCAACCCACTGCTTTCTGGTAAGTACTGATGGACGTGCTCTCTGACTCTGCTGCCTCCATTCCAATTGGACATCTGTCCTGCTTCCCAGGCACTGGGCAGTGACACAGTCAGCTTTCCCTCACTGCTGAGTTACATGACTTCAGCCATCCTGAACCACGAGGTCCTGGCACTGCCGGTGCTGCCCAAAAAGCGGGGCATTCCCCCGCTGCGCACCTTCTCGCCGCTGGGGGGCACCCTGCCATGTGATGTCCACTTGCTGAATCTGCGCAGCATCCAGGGCCAGGTAACACTGCACTGCACACAGTCTAGCGCTATGATAACACCGTTAGCAATTAGCACGTCCACCATAACTTTAACTGCCCCTGGTCATTAAAGACTTCCTGCCATCTTCTGGCAGAAAGATGGAAGTATTGGGCTCCACCCCCTCGCATGGCCTCTTCCTGATCCTGGGTTCCAGTTCATCCCAAAAACAGTTTGGCATGACTGAGTGTGAAGGTGTCACCTCACGACCCCCTCTAACAAAAACACACTATGGACGATTTGACCTTTCCCGGGATGTGGTGTCTTGATTAAATGTTCATGGGAAAGGTCAGACTGCCTGGCAGATTGAAATACGGAAGGTGAATATTTCTGTCCTCTAATGAAACGAAAGGGGATTCTAAAAACTCCCAGGATCCCGTTAGGTAGTTTGGACAGTGTGATGCTGCTTTCTTGCCAGCCTGCTTGCTAAGTATTTTAGCGTCCGTGCCGTATCTTTCTTTGTCTTTTGTTGGTGGGGGGGGGACACTTTCAGTAATGTGTGATTTCCACCCACAGCAGGACAACAGCCCATCCCCCCACACGGCCCTCATTCTGCACCGCCGCGGTCTGGAATGCTCCACCGAGGCCCAGAACCTGGGCTTCAACTGTAGCACCACGCAGGGCAGGGTAAGTCCCATCCGGTCGCCCACGCCCTCCCACCTGCCGCGTGTCCCCGTTCCCTGACTCTGGTCTCCGGTCCTATACCCCCCCCCAGCTGGCTGTCTCCAGCTTATTCCAGGGCCTGGACCTCCACCTGCTCCAGCCGATGTCCCTATCCTTCATGTATTCCGGCATGCCGCTCGCCAACACCTCCACCCTCAGGCTCGACCCCATGGAGATCTCCACCTTCCGGCTGAAGCTGCGTTAACCCGCAGGCCCGTCCGCAGACGGACCAGTGCCAAAATGCACCCGCCCGCCCAACCTCTCACGCCGACCAGCCAGATGACGACTCACCTTTCTGTGAATGTGTATATAAACTGTTACGGATGGGGACCGTCCCCTGGGTGAAAACTACTGCGACCCTGAGTAAGGGCAGCACCCGATGGAAAGTCTGGTCTGGAGGATCCTGATAGGCCACGGGAAGAGACCGACAGTTCTCCAGAGCACAACTGGCACTACAACCCATCTGACAGACCAGGAGCTGCTGGTTCTGTGAGGGACATACTCTTCTGCTGCTCTTGGTGGTGTCTTTTTAAATTTAATATCAGTCCTTTAGTCCGAAACCTCGGTGAGTGCAATGTGGCAGCCGTCATGATGTGAAGGACACAGACTGAGGCGCGAGTGTGAACGGACGCTGTAATATTGCTCTGCTCTTCTGCTTTAGGAAACCTGGTCTAAATATGAAGTAAATCCTGACTTATGTCACCATGTAGAAGTACATCCAAAAGCTGCTGCGCCCCGTTTTCTTTCCCCCCGCACCGTGGGGTCGTGCTTAAGGTCATGTTCGATTCTCACTATACTAGGTGTGGTTTTTCGCTGCACTGAGACCAGTGCAGCACAGGGTGGTTTGGTAGTTAAGTCACAGACGCAGTGCGGCTCTGCCCATTGAAGCCTCGCCCCGGCAGGTCTGTCTCAGGCGTGACCCGAGGCTGTGAGGACTGCTGGGTCTGCAGTCAGATGTCAGTCTGCACCCCGCCACTGCGGCGGCTGGGCCTTGTGTATTATTATACCGTATGCAGTAAAACATGATACCTCATTGAAAGGTAGGACGCCGGGCATGTTTATGGTGAGCCTACTGTAGGTGGGGCGGGACAGACTTTGCGTGGGAGGGCGGAGGTGAGCTTGGCCCGTCAGCAGGCCCACACTGTAGGTGTCGGCTATGCCCTGCCAAAGGGGCTGACAGGAAGTCCCCCGCCCCCGTGCTTATCCAGCAGTCACAGTGTATGCCCTGTCTGTCATCCCCCACCCCCTCCCCAACCTTATGGCTCACTTTGTTTAAAAAAAAAAAAAAAAAAACCTTCCCTTGTTGCTCCAGGTTTTGTTTAAGTAGAAGGATCCCCCCCCCTACATGTTCTTATTTATTGCTGGTGGTGTTTATTAAAAAAAGGCATATATGTAAGACAAAGCCAGCTTGCAGGAGCTGAATTTGAATAAAGTCACTATAAGGCAGTCACGGTGTGCTGTGGTCTTCACTGATGGTTGGCTGCCTGCTGTGGGCGACTGAAGCTCAAGCAGTCGGCTCGTGTGATATGAAGCGTGCACTCTTCCTCACAACATTTTCTTTTTAACGCTGATGTCGGACACCTCTGGGAGCAGGGTTCTGCCATGGCTCCATGTGTCATCATGGGGTTTCCTCTGGGTACCTTTGATTCCCCTCCCCCCACAGTCCTTAAACATGGGAAGATTAATTGGAGTTACCAAATTGTTCTAAGTGTGACTGTGCCCTGTCAAGGGTTGGCGCCCCATCCTGGGTTGTTCCCTGCTTTGCACCTTTAGCTTCTGGGATAGGACCCCCCCCACCCCTCACTGAATAGGACAAGTGGTTACAGAAAATGGATGGATGGAAGGGAAGTAAACTGAATCCAACCAGAGCTCTCTTTCAAGCTACAAAATAACGAGCAGGAGAGGAACAGAAGGATATGGTGTTCAGCTGACAAACAGGTATGGGAATTGGATTGATGATACGTAACACTGCCCACTAGTGGTCCCTCCATTTATTACACTTTGCACATTTACCTCAGGCTGGCCCACTATAGCCGCAGGTGAGTAAGAGCAGCTCAAGGTACCAGAATGTTCCTCAGGACTTTCTCCACCATTCAATTCTTTGACTGGTGCTTAATTAACTTGATGCACTAAAATGTCCAGTTTTTTTTTTTTTTTTGTCTCTGCTGGTGTGGATTTCTACGCTCAGCGGATCCTGCGGTGGAGGGCGTTCAGGTTTCCCCGCAGCGTGTGAAATGAGGGTCGCTTCTTGGGGTCGTACTGCCAGCACTGACACATGAGGGTGTAGACTTCAGGAGGACAGCCATCTGGAATAGGCATCCGGTATCCTGCCATGTTTAAAAGTAAGATATTAAATTAACATATCCCATGTCCTTCTCTGATAAGGGCATAGGGATGCGAGTAAAATGCTGGTTTTTTTTATGAACTCAGAAGTACTTGAAGAGGTCAAAAAACCAGCTGTATTAAATACATCCCCCAAAAAACGTACTGTCGCTTAATGTTTGTCAAGGGCTCTGGAACAACTGTGCTGTGCTAGTATGTAGTTTAACTGAAATAAGATGTAGCCAATATTACCACTTCCAGGTAATCAAAAGGATCTCCTGCATGCATACCTTTCTCCACCTCTTCTTTCATTTGCTGGTTGGTCATGGTTGGGTAAGGAGTAGATCCATGAGTGAAGGTCTCCCACAAAACGATTCCGAAGCTCCAAACGTCGCTATCTGTGGTGTAGCGTGCTGAAAAGCAAGCAGGGGGCAGCGCTGAGTCATTCTTACTTAAGCAGACTGATAAATGGGTGAGCTGACAGGGGAACGACTGGGAGAGTGGTGAGAGGGGCTGTGGCTCTGATTAATGTGGCCCAATCCGCAGCGCGGTAAGACTGTCCAATCCTAATAGTGGATAGTGGAAAGTGAGAACAAAGTAAAAACTCCCTGAGGAAGGCACGCAGTGGTTATGGAGAGTGTCGTGTCACTCCTATGAGAAGCATGATGCTGGCTGACAAACATGGGTGTCTAGAAGCTCCTAGAAGGATCGGGGCACACGGTTCGAACAGCGAAGGGCGATTAAGGCAGAGCGAGGCTAACTAATGTGGTGTTTCTCAAATTGGTCCTTGCTTCTTCCCAGCTTAGCGCGGCTCCCTCACCGTAATTCAGTGCTTCCGGCGCGGTCCATTTCACCGGGACCTGCTTCATGCTCCCTGTGGCCGAGTAGATGCCGTCATCGCCCTCGCGGGACATCCCAAAGTCGCTGATCTTCACCGCGTTCTGGTCCCCTACCAGGCAGTTCCTCGCCGCCAGGTCCCTGCCGGAACGACCGCCAGTGAGGCAAGGAGGACAGTCCTATGCTTCTGGCCAAACCCCTTCATTCCTCAGGTTTAACTGGAGGCCAGGTGACCATTCTGCCGGTCACTCGTCAGCTTCATGAAACAGGCTGGGATGCATCCCAGCTGAACTCTTTATGCTAAAGCCCAGCAGCCCATGAACCTCAGGAGGTTCTGCAACCACCTCAAGCTTTTAACACAAACACCATGATAAGCTGTGACAACATAAAAAAACTCCATAGCAATAGGAGGTAGTCTGTTCCTACCACTGATGGTACACAAGTGTTTTTTATGATGGTTTACAAGAATGTCCAGGACGTGAGAAACATCATGTCACCCAGTCATGTGATATTTTCCAGGCATCCACTTTGTAAAGATCCACATCTCTCACCTGTGAATGCATTTCTTACTCTCCAGGTACTCCATCCCTGACGCAATGTTCTCCACCATTTTGATCAGCATCTTGGGTTTCAGACTGCTGGTCTCATTCCGTAGGAAGGACAGAAGGTCACCCCCTGCCAAAACAGACAAACGGCATTTTCCATCCGCACTGGCTGGTATGAACCGGGGTTGAAATGGTTCAAAACGGGCCCAGCTCACCTTGGACCAGCTCCATGACGATGTAGATGGGCTGTTTCTGAGTGCAAACCCCAATCAGCTTCACGATGTTGGGGTGGTCATACTGTTTCAGAACCCTGGGTCACACGACACACAGTTGCAATCACGTACAGGGAATTAGTCCATTCTGGCTGACCTCAGACTGAGTGTGAACGTCCATGTGAGTTTGTGTGTGTGTCTGATGAGCGACCTGGCCTCCATAAGGAACTTGTTCTTCATTTCCAACGGCAGGTTCTCTCTGCAGGTCTTGACAGCCACTGGGGTGTTGTTGGAGCGCATGCGGCCGCTGTGCACCTCCCCAAAGTTTCCCTGATTGGACATATTCTGTCAGTCAGTCCCACTTTAGGTAACAATTACAGTGGGCATTGGGATGGTGAGCTCAGACGCTACCCCACTCAAGGCTTCTCTAGATCATGCACACAGCTCTCAAAAAATTCTAAAACGAGAAGCTTAGTCTAAATCTTCTACTATATTCAATACTGTTAAGATCCCACTTCCCTTCATCAATGTGATGCAAAATCAACTCACCCGGCCAATGTGCTCTCCGAGGATGATGTCATCGTGATCCAAGACCCACTTGTCCTAGGAAGATGGGACAGCAGCACATGAGAAATACGGTAACACTGTCCACTAATGGTCCTTTTCAGGGATCCCGCCCCGGCACACAGAGCCTACGAAAATGATGCTGGCGTGGGGTGTTAGCTGTGCTAATGCTAATGCTAACCGTGGCACCTACCTGCTCACGCTAATAGTGAGAGTGTGGTCAGTCCTGACAATCAGGAACGGGAAGGATGCTACAGTCAGACAGACGCTGGCGATTATCAAAAACATGTGCTAAGGAAACCAAACCCATTATCTGAAGTGTTTTCATGATATTACACCCGGTTACACAATGTTGAGTCATCAGGTCCGTGGGTCACTTTACTTTGCACTCATGCCATGGTGTGAGAGCCAATTTTGACAAGGAACTTTCTGGCAGTCTAGCTTCCTCACAAAAACATCACCTGTCAACGGTGACTGAAATGAGGAAGGACAGCCATGATACGCCTTCCTAACCTCATTCAGGTTAAAGAGGAGGAAGTGTTGCTTATATGCAGGCAAGCTTAGAGGGGTGTGATCGTCATTAGCAAGCCAGACCCCGTGACGCTGGAAGGCTGACAGACTACCTTAATGATGGCTCTCTTCAAAATGATGTCAGTCTTCTTGGTGACATTCTGGTGTGAGGTAACGAGGTGGCTAATCAGCAACGGGACGGTGGAAAATCCTTCTCCGTCGAGCCGATACATGTTCTGTAACAGACAGGAGAATGAGATGAAGGACTCACCCCCCCCCCTCCCACCACAAAGAAGCCAAGAGCTTCAGTGTCAACCAAACACAGATACACTGAGCATTGCTGCTGATCTCAGAACCTCAACGCTGCCCTCCAGAGGAAAGGAGAGAGAGAGATGAGGACAAAGGGACAGAGAGAGGATTGGGGACAAAGGAAGAGAGAGAGAACTGGGGGCAAAGGGACAGAGAAAGAGAGAGAGACAGGGAGAGAGTTGGGAACAAAAGAACAGAAAGACAGAGACAGGGACAATGAGACACAAAGATGGCTGCAAAGGGAAAGAGAGAATGAGTTGCAGCCCAGCACAGGGAACTCAGCAGCTCAGGAAGTAAGCTTTGTGCCTGCAAAGGTCACAGAGAGGGTTAAGCGGCGAGTGGCTCTGGGGTGGGGGGGGGGGATTACTCACCTCACCGCTCTGGATGATGAAGTGCCGACACAGCCCTCCCCAATGCACCGAGAGAACGTATTCCTGCTTGCCCTGGCTCTCCCGCACCAGGTAATCCCCATCCTCCTTCAGCAGCTGCTGCACCTCGACCCTTGGGATGGCCCCGTGGTACCAGGCCTGCTGGCTCAGGGGTTTTTCCACCTCCGGCACCAGCGGCAGGGGCGGGGGCACCTGGGGGGGCAACAGCGGAGTAGAGGTCTGCCTCAGAGGGCTGGCACATGCTCCCCTCAGCCATTGTGACTTTGGTCACATTTGTGCCAGGCTGTAGGTCATTGGTCAACATTCAATATGGTACAGAACAACGGGCTTCACTCGTAGTACTATGACACAATTGTCGGAGTGCTGGACCGTAATAAGAGGTTGCACTTTGCCTCAATACAATTTTATTATATGTCTGCACACAAGACAGATGCATTTCTGCCTAATGCCTTCTTCAGATGCCGAAACGCATCTCTGTTGTGCAGACTTATATAAAAATCATATTGAGGCAAAGTGTGCCCTCTTTTTGTTACACTTGATTGGCCAATATTCAGTCGCCAGCCCTCTGATTCATCACCTCATCGCTAGCGGCCCTCTGATCAAAGCGTTGCTGCGGGGGTGGTGGGGGCTCACGGCACCGTGAGGCAGGTACTACTCACTGTGTACTTGGACACTACTCACTGTGTACTTGGACACTACTCACGGTGTACTTGGGCACTACTCACTGTGTACTTGGGCACTACTCACTGTGTACTTAG